GAATATAAACATCTGGATTTACTTTATATTTTCAATAAAATAACACATCTTCTTTCTGATTTATTAGACAGTAAAATACAATGAAAACAGAGCTCCAGATTTAAGTAGCTTTTGCTGTATTTTCAATATTATTATTCCATTATGAAATATATCTTGTCTGTCTTCCTTCCCTACCAAATACTTTTTTGTATTTATCATTTCTACAACAAACATAGGCAAAATCAAATAATTATTTTCATTATAAAGGAATATCAGATTGACAGGTTTTAAGCCTGAAGGCCTTTGTTTTTAAGCCACTACAAGTTTATGTTCATTAAGGTATATTAGTCACATGCCTCAAATCAGCAGTGGGTCTGAAATGGGTCTGAAACTCTCTTCCTGCCCCATACACAAGCAGGATTTCAATGCAACCTAGTATAAAGCAGGGAGATTATGCTGTTGAGGGCTTCAGTTACCTTATACCATATAACTTAGGTTCTGATAGGAACTAGACAGATAACAATATAGAAGAAAGAAATTATAGAACTATAGAATTATAGACCATTTTTGGAAGCAAATTATAAATGGTAGTACTGTCTACTGTTCAGACTTTCTGCTGTGCCAGGTGAAATGTTAGGTTTATATTTAAGCCACCTATCCACCTGCAAGGAAACCAGGAACAGCAGCCTAAAGACCAGCCTAGAATCAATCCTACTTCTAACATTACTTGTAAAGATGGCTATTTCATGAAATTCTGCACCCACAGGTACTCTGCTGTCTAGAAATCTTCACCGGGCCTAAGAGCAATGTCTCTGGCCAATGTTTGCAGAGCACTCAAACACACTGTTCCCTATGTCTTGGGTAACATGAGCCTTTCAATTTGATCGAGTTAGTTCTCTTACAGATGGAGACATTTATAATTTGTTATTGTTATTGTTAAAACAAGTGAGGTTTTGAAGGCAGGAAAAACTCTTATGAGTGAGGTTTCTGAAACATGACCAAGCCAAAGCCACCAAAAATAAGTCTGGCCTGTCTGCAAAACAAAACTCTTAGTCTGTCCCTGCCCATTCCCTGTGTTACAGCTATGTTTCTGGCAATACGAACTCACCTTGCCACTTAATCACAAGAGGAAAAACAACCTAGACACCCCCAGGTCAGTAGCTGAACCCCAAGTCATTCACCCAACAGACTGGAAAACGTTAGGAGAATAAGATTTTATTCTTATTATATTCATATTCAACAAATATACACGAAATGTAGGGTTTAGATAAAGAATCTAAACAGCACGGATTGCACAAACATGCAGTGACTTCAATGACAGGACTCCAGGTTTATGTCAGTAGAAGGGGAGAACGACATGTGACCAGCTGACACTCTCCAGACATGTTCCGGGAGCCAGAATGTGAGACATTGCTGAGATGGCCAGGCAAAACGTAGTGAAGGTTCAGACTATTGTAGTTTCCTTCAAAGTTAACAGCAACCTTTCTTGTAAAACTTCTCTCTCCTCAGTAACTACTAGCTAGAATTTCATCAACAACTAATTAACCTGTGTTACGTAAAAATAATTGTCAGGAGACCTCAGAGTGGCACCTGAAAGGCACCTAAAAACAAAATACGATCCCCTTTTTCTCTCACCTCAAAACCATACAAAACAACAATTATAGGGAAACCATGATAAAGAGAAAAGGAAGAGATCTTTGAGTTTTTTTCTGAAGGATCCCACACAGGATATTTACTCGGCCAGTTTATGACTGTGGAGAGAGAATTCCAGATGTGCGGCTCTCAGCTGGGAAAGCCTTCCTCTCCCCTACACACCCACACATATCCACTTTATGTACTCTTAAGCAAGCTTCAGAATGAAAAAAAATTGTGGGTGAAATATTTGACATGAACATACACTCTTGGCTTATGTAGGCCTCTTGATGGATTGTCTTGAGAGTAAATGCGTACCATGCAATTTTCCTTGAATAGAAGGAAATGCCAGACATTTACACAGTGATCAAGTTACCACTGAACTTCGCTGCCTCTACTACAGAGAGCTATACATTTCATTCTCTTCTAAGAAGTGGTTTGGCTGTCAAACATGTCACAGGTTTTGAGTTTAAGTAGACTGTATGCTAGCAACCATTAAGAACTCCACATTTATCTAGCAGATCTTATCAGATATGCTGCCTTTATTTCTTATTCCAAATGTCGTGAGCTATTGAAGTAATCATATATGAAGACTTCTTGATGGCTCTTTCATACTGGTATACCAGTGTTGACCCTGACTCTCATACAGTGTATGGATACCTAAGCATTGCTTCAGGCTTCCTCCATTTTATTTCAAGTTGGAAACTTTGTTTGAACCTAAAAATTAACCAGAACATAAGTAGAGGGACTAAATCATTACAATGTCTATAATAGTAAGAGAAAATTAAATATCATCATGCTACTCAAAGCTGATAAAATCTATCTACGTTCAAAGTATTAAGAGACCATGTGAGGCATAAAGTTGTGCAAAGAGACATGACATGACTGCAGCAGTTTTTACCCTATTGAGCTTAACTATCTTGTGAACCCAGTGGCCTTTCAATGAAAAACACAATGTTTGTTCTTTTTGGTCTGAGAAGCCAACATTCATAGCAATTCTCAAGTCGTATGACCTTCAGGAGAATAAAGAGCTGATATTTGCACTTCATCATCATAAGTCAGGAAGGATGACTCTACTTCCCGATTGCTAAATTTACCATAAATCCCAAAAAGTGACTGTGAAAAAAAAAAGAAGTTCCAGTATCCCAGGTCTTCCCGAAAATTTATCACAACGGAAAAACAAAGTAGTTTACCCTTCTTCCACACCCACACCCCTAAGGAAAACAATATTGTACCTACTGATCACAGACCTCTGCCATCTGCTCCAGCCTTTCTATTGTTCTAGTCTGGATTGGTTTCCTTGCTGGTTTTTAGTCTTGGGGAAAATTCATTACTGGGGAAAAAAAAAAACCAACAAACAAACATGAAAAACCCTCTTCTTCACTGATGTTCAGAGAAGATATATGCTTAGGCCAATAGTAAGTTTAGGGCCATGGTTATAATTTTAAAAAAAACCTTCTCAGATGCCAAGGTCAGGAAGGACTATTCTGTCCCACCTGGTCCCCTGGTTAGTCCCCTTATATAATTTTTCTTTCATTAGTCTCGCAAATTGTGGAGCAATTTGGTACAGAGCATGCATACACAGCCACTACAGTACTAAATATCACACAGACTTGATAGAATGGATAGCATTCCTAAGTATTTTAATTTAAAATAACCCCCATTGAACGTACAACAAGAAAAAAAAAATCACTTCCTCTGTTAGAAAACAATCAATTTAAAACATGTGCTTTGCTTTCTGTAGCTTAAATACTCCAATACTTGAAGGTCACTGTCTTTGGGAATTCCTGTTTCTAGCCACTGTGGGACAGAAGCATGCATGTTTTGTGCTTGCATGTTTAATCCACCGTAAGATTTCTACAAATGTATGCATCTTGTAATAGTCACCTTTCATTCCAGATTCTGTCCCTAGTTACAAAGTTGAAGATTCCTGAAGCTTGATTGAAGCAACCCATCAATTCCAACTAGATTAACACTAATTCTAGCCATATGTTGATGAGCGACAGCTCTGTAAAAGAAGACTTTTGTAAAAAAAAATAGTTAGTGAAGAAATAAACACTCCATTGAGAAAACATTCATTTTATCTGGAAGCTATTGATTGAGTATTTTAGTGCTGAACATCAATGGCATGTGTAGATAGCAATCATAATCAATGACATTGACTTAGAAATGCTTTTTGTTTCTTTTGAATATTGAAACTGCAAAACAAAATTTGCAGCTTGTTTTGGGAGAGCTGATTGTTGATCTTCATGACAGTCACCTCACTATTTCAGGACGTGCAGGAGGATACAGTTGTACCACATTTTAAAGTTTACTGGCATAGAAAGCAAGCTTGTCAAGATGCATCCTCTGTCACCTAGATTTTAACCCCTGCCTGTTTATTTCCTCCCTAAGGAATGTAGTTAGGCAATAACGCAAGGACTTCCTGTGTTTTAAAATGAGTATTTGCACAGTCTGATGGAAGTGTAATGATGGGTCTTTGCTTCTGGTAATTGTGGGTTACCCTGTCAGAGCAGTTTTGCAAGGGATGAAGGCAGCAGGGGGTAAATGGGGAGGATGTGGCCACCCCATTAAAAAACAAAACAGCGGAAAGCTGTCCACTTGACTGAGGATGCTTCCCAGAACAAACAACAAGCTGCTGAGATTCACCATAGAGCCCAGTTTATTCCCCTCATGGAACTTCTAGGTACTCAGTGCCATCCTCACCCTCTCCACAACTAATTTTTTTCCCATGATACAGTGAGAATTTGCTGATTAATAATAGAAACAAAAAGAAAGTCCAGATTTTGAATGTAAGTGTAATACCCCACTACAAACAGAAAGGTGTGACTCCACCCTTGATAATTAACCAGGCAAGACTCCCTTATCTCTAGATAATAATCAGGGTGAAGCATGAACCTCAAAAAGGTGATTCAGCCCCTGTCTGAACTATCTCCTTCCACCATCTGAGGACAAGGGTAGAACAATTTTCATCTGAACACATGCCTCTCAGTTTGGAGAATGGAAATTGATCCACCATACCGCCAGGCCCAGTCTAGATTCTTGTCCCAATTACTTTTGAATGAGTGCCAGTGATACATGATATACTTTGGCAGAGATGTCTCCCAGAACAGTGCTGTTTCAAAAAAACATAAACAAAAACAAAAACAAACAAACAAACAAACAAGCCTCAATAATGCTGAAGTTTCATGCCTAGAACATTTAAATAATCCTGAGAGAACTGAGGACCTGACTTTCAATGAGTCACCTTATTCAGTTAGTAAGGCATTTATTAGCCTAGGTGTTTCCTGCCACCAAAATATAGGAAAGAATCTAAAATATACAAGACGACAAGACACCATAAAAGCTATTATCGTTTGACATTACCTACATCAATGTGATGTTATTTTGCCAAGGAGTAACCTCTCGGGCTTGCAGTATCAGAGCCCTTTTTGGCAGTACACATGAAACACGGATTGCATATCTGATTTTAGCTGCAGATAAGAGCACAACACAATTCTTCAACAATTCATCTGATGATGATTATTCGTATAGCTACTTTTCAGACTTCTGAAGAAAATGAAGCAATTATCCTGTCTCAGTGAATTTTTACTACATCCTCCATCTAAAAGGAAGGCCTTTCTACACATTTTTTTTTATTTTGCTGAAAGATAAGTAACATAAGTACAATCCTCATAATGCTATAATTGTTTTTATAATTACTGCCATGTATTTGCATTGTTGTTAAGGGTTTCAATGAATGCTATCTATAGTATTTCATGAAAAAAGTGAAAAATCACCATGTTTCATTGGAGAGAATTTTTGTCTAGACATTATCTATCTCATTCCTTGAGCTGGTAGGATCTCCATCTCTAGAAAGATAACCCAAAGTGTTGTGAATATGCAGATGTTTCTACTGAATCCCTTGCCAAGCATTTTGGCAGCTATGAAATAAATGGTCAGCGTGGGTTTTTTTGATAGAAGTGATATCTGACAGACAGATGAGCACCTTAACTTCATTCACTGACATTGCTTCAGCCCAAATTTTTTATATCATTTCACAGAATAAGAGATAAGCACCCTGAAGAATAGAACATAAAAGAATATCACAAGTAATACATGAAACAATGGTCATTCTTGTAATGATCACAGTTCAGAGGTTTCCATGCATTCATGTCTTCACTATAAGAGCAGGAGACATTATCAAGTGCAGACAGCTGATAGACTCCTGAAAGTTGCCAGCTTGGTCAAAATCTCCAAAAAGTTAAATTAGCATTTATATTGTCAGCACCAACCAATGAAGTAAAATCAAATGTATAGCCTTCATATTGCTTTTCATGTTTGCATAAAATCTACCAGCTAGAGCACAAATTATGTTCTTTTGGAGCACTTTTCATCAGCAGCAGGATGTCATCAGGGTGGTAAATTGCAAAATAAAAATGTAACTAATTAACTTTGACAGTGCATTTATTTGATGAAGTATCATCTTGCAAAGCACAGAACGAGTAACATGCAACTGCTGCCAGACTGAAGAAATCACTGTTAATCTGCTTAACAGCAAGGCTCCTTTAGCTCCCAGTCTCCCTCTGATGCAGACTCATGGGATCCTGGCAGTGGTATCCCTGTGCATAAAGCACGCAGGCAGCAAATCCTTGCTTCCTTCCATGGTAAAACAGCAAATGGGTGTATTGATTAATAAGAATTGTTCCTGCTTAGAGCGTGGAAGTATAAACAGGGTGGATTAATAGTGATTTGTAAAAGATTAAAAATGAGCATCACATTTAAATCTCTATTCAGTTAATTAATAGTCACAAAGCATGTTCAGCAGCTAGACAAATCTTGGCTTATTTACCTTTGATAAAGCGGTATCAAGGGGAGAGCCCCATGCTGGGGCCCTTCCCAGAGGTTTAGCTCCCCAGGCTCAGGGCCATTGGGGCGGTCCATCGCTAACGAGTGCATTTACATTTCACACTGCATCTGGAAAAACTAGTCTTTTCACTTATTCTGAGACGTAAAATAAATAAGTTACTCTTGGCAAAGGCCACCTTGCAACAAGGGATCTGTCAAACTAGAATCAGGTGCTGGAAGAGGGTACAGGCAGCCTAATATCCTGTGAAAGCAAATAAGAAACCTAAAGTGCTGCTACACAAAGTGCAACCAGTGGATGAACACTATGATTGACGAGCTGAAGTTCCCTGCACACAGGGTGGCCTTGGGCTGAAATAAAACCAGCAATTCAGTACACAGCTGCATTCATGCACCTACCCTGAATTTAGCTGCTTCAGTCCCTTCACTGTGTTTCTGAGGTTGCATTGCTCATGAAACCCCAGATGGGTATTGTATATTCTTCCTCAAATCTCATGTCTGTTTGCTCTGGAAGGAAGACCGGCTTGCTCTGGGAAATGGTGAGTAACAGAACCAGGAGACCCTTTCTGTGCAGTCCAAAACATTTACAGACCTCACTGGGAACAAGTTTCAACTAACTCATAAGTTTTGGGGGTCACTTTTGTGACCGTGAAGAAGAACCTGCATTTTCAGAAGCTGGAGAGAAACCCACCTTGGGAGAGCACCTCTGTATTTTATTCCCTCGATTCCACTACCTTTAAATGAAAGGTATCTCCTGCTTTACTGCAAAAGTAGACAAAAAATGCAGTGCTTTCTGACATTTTGCCAGAAACAACTAGATGGAAGGAAAGTTTGGATGCTTCAGCATTTGAAGGACAACTCTAGGTCAAATGTCCTCATGGCAGTTTTAACAGTCCATGGTGTTTCCTGCATGAACAAACAATTTCATGGACTAGAGAGACCAAACCTCTTGTTTTCACCCATATCCTGGGAAGATTACCATCTCTGGCCCAGACAGCCACAAGAGGTCAAGCCTCCAGTCATAGCCATGGCTGCAACCAAAATTGGAAGATTACTACCAAGAACAGCTATCACAGAATTTCCCATATGCTACATTAGCAAACTGAACTAAAAAGGCATAATCCTTCAACAAATGATGTTTGTCCTAGACATGAGACAAATTTGATAATGAAAAGAGAAGTTCATTTTAAGCTACATTTTACCTGGTTATGCTGTAAAAACATTGGCACCATCAAGGTAACTGCTGATCACAGCAGAATAAAACCTTTATGTTGACAAAGCAAAAGCATCCCTTGGGGGCAAACTCACAAACGCCTTCATTTACGTTTTGTCATTTAAAAATTAAACGGAAGCTACAGTTTATGTGTGCTATTGCTTAAATACCAGAAGTACCCAAAGGAATTCAGTTCAGTACATATGTACAAATAAAAATAAAATATTGTGGAGTTTGTGTGTTTATGTCTGCATTTCAGAGATGTCCAGATGTGCAGGGGGGATAATGAGATGTTAGAAAGAAATATCAAGATTTGTTCAATGAATTTTGATAGGACTGGAAGTATCAGATCTATTGAAAAATATACAAAAAAGTTTAGTCAGGTGTCATATGGGGCATTAGTAAAGATTCTTTCATGAAGTCTGGTACCCCTGAATAACCTAACCAGTTCTGCATTCACACATGGAAGAAGTGGGAATCAGATGGAGGTGTTTGGTATATGTTAGTAAATATTTCTGAACTCAAAACAAAACAAAGAATTTGCAGTCAGTTAATAAAGAACTACAGCTACAGAACTTATCAGCTAATAAAGAACTTACCAGCTCCAATTGATTTGCTGTTGAAAAGGAAATCTTAAACACATTTTTTTTTACAGAAGTACTGCTAGATAGAATAGCAAAATAAAGATCCATTTCCGAAGAAAAAGCTACTTAGTGTGGTAAGGGGGACTGTAAGAAGCAAAAAACTAGGAAATACATATCAACTCAGTCTCCTTCAAGCACAGGCACACCTATATCTGCAGGTACCTCATTGATAATGTGTTCTGTATATAGAGGGTTCAGAGTCAATCATTTAAAGAACTAAATGAAATAATAAAAGTTAAAGTCAAATTCTGCAACAAACAGCAAGTCTGTCTGAAAATTACATACACCCACACAAATACCAAAAATTATGGATTTCCTTCACAATAGGTAAACTAGCCTCCACAGAACAATATCATCATCCAGAATCTGAAAGCAGATTTTGGGATCAGCCCTAAATTTAATGTTGCACCAAACTACTTCTCATCAGCCTAAAAGCTCAGCACAAAGCTACCAGAGGGATTTTTCTGTCACATTAGAGATATCAAGCATAGTGAGGAACTACTGTTCCATAGTGGTGAACATCCCTAGTCCAGTTTAGTCCTTATTTTCGTGCCCAGGAGAAAAACTCAAAGCCATCAAAACTATACAAAAAAGCACCAGAAGGAACAATGGCTCTGCTCATCCTGGCTCCCACTGATGCCACAGAACCCACCAGCAGCGGAACATGAACACACAGTGACAGAGAAATCCCACAGCACTGCATTCCTTTCCTCCACTCGTGCAAATTCTCACACACAGAGATGACTGTAGCATAGTGACTATTAAGAGAATAATTGAAATGTCATATGCGTTACATGATAAAATACAATTAGCTATTTTTCTATACTAATATTTGTAAGTATAAAAACTAAGGTACCCCCCAGTGGGAATAAGCAGCAATTGCTGGCTCATTGGTGACGTGTCTTAATTTGTCACAGACTTGAAGGCAGCACAATGATGTGTTTGCTCTTATGCAGCAGAAGCAATTATTTTTGCAGAAATGAATCACTTTACATTCTGAAGCTATATAAATAATTAAGATTCAACTAAACTTGTCAAAATATATAAGTACAACACTCTACAACATTAAAGACTGGGCGCTATGCAAAAAGTTTCACCTCAGGGCACATATTGGGACCTCATCACTTTGTCCAAAGGATGTCTGAACCCCCAGGAGCTCAACTCAGAGCTGGAAGATCAAATGGCAGGAACCTGAGCCTGGAAAATTTCCTCATGGTACTTGTAACATCTTCCACTAGCAAAGCCCTAAATTAAAAGAAATTGTTTAGGCAGTTTACATGCTGTGAATCAAAGAATGCTTAAACTTAACAGGGAGATTAATCCTTAGGCACATAGCACTGATTCTAACTTTGTATTCCCAGGGCTTCATATCAGCTAAACAATGTTCATGGTTTTTTTTTTTAAATAAGCCTTTTATCTGTGCTAAAAGTTCAAAGAGATCCATTACACATTTGGAAAAAACCTCACTTGAATTATTCCATGGATTTTGCATAAGTTAGTAGTCAGACATAAAATACCTGATAAAAATGAGGGGGAAAGACACTTCTTTTTTTTTTTTTCTTTTTTTCCATTTTATTGGCCAATAAAATTTTCAGTCTGAAGGCACAGTTGTTACAGGTCATATTTACATGACGAATTGTTTCCTAGCCACATGAGGCAGTCTGATACTCTGCTGTTTGGCTGTCCATCTATTTGTCCTTGCCTCACATTCTTTAGGCTACCCAACCACCTTCAACTAATTTTTACCAGAGGAGAAAAAGTCTCAGAAAATCTTTCAAATTCTCCAGGGATTAGCAGCTAGGCATTTGGGCATTGTAAGTCAAATTTTATTGTCTGGACATTCAAAAAGGACAAGTAGCTTCTGGCTTGAAAGAAAACCAGACTTAACTGAGAAACACTGAAAACTTGGCAAAACCTGAAAAATAACAGCAGATGAGACTGACATCCTTCAGAGTGTACTGGCAAAAGTCCTGGCCTAGTCTGCCACTGTCCACACTGAGTAGATAGAAAGGGATTTCTTTTTCTGGTGGGACCATGCTGATGAACATCAGACTTAGCGGATGTCAGGTGAATGGGAAATAAATTTGTTGCCTTAGATGGATATTTGGGTTTGAGGATTGCTGTCTAATCCATCTGGGAAGAGAGGTTTCCATACTATTCAGGCACTAAACCTAAGTGTCTGGGACATGTGCTACCTGTATGGATCAGCAGCAATCCTTGCTAACTGCATTCACTGCTGGCTGTTTGTTACAGAAATGGCTTCAGTGTCATACAGCTCCTTCATCAAGAGACCGAGGGCAGATACCCTCCTCATAGAATCTGTATTTCAAAACAGGTAACCTTTTACATGTAGTCTCCTCCTGTCCTTTAACAAACAAGGAAAAAAATCTTCTCACCACCAACAAAATTCTAACATTTTAAACTGCAGACTACAGTGAGCACCACAGCATCCTACAGCAAATTTACATCTGTTCTTCTCAGCAGGGCTGATCCTAAACAGCAAGGTACCAAGGCATTACCCACCGTCAAAGCAATCCTGACCCACTGCAGATGCTTTCACGTATTCTTGGACAGATGCCCACAAATTTCTGTCTTCCCCTACTTCCGCATGAGATGATGCTGCTCCCCTGCCTTGACAGGTTTCAGGCCTTTAGCCTCATCACCTACTCAGGTTCTGCTTCCAGATTCTGAGAGGTAATGCCATTATATTCAGTAAAGGAAAGCGCCTTTGGGAAGAATCAATTATTTACCATGGTGCCATGCTATAAATTCACAGCAGAAGCAACAAAGCACAGGCTGTTTTCACCACTGAACTCCACCCACAGAAGCAGAAGATGGGGTTATTATTGTCATTGCCAACTGGCCCAACAAGCCCTGCTCCAACTGGAAAACTCGCTTAGACTCCCTTGTGCTTTCCCAGTGCCACTTCCAGCAAATCTTCATTCCCCTTACCCAGAGCACAGCAATTGCTCTCTGTGCAGCTCTTTGGCATCACAGAGTGGAATGCCTCTGGCCAGCTTGATCCAGCTGCCAAGCTGAAAGGAAGGAGAACTCACAGCTCCTTCCATAACTACAAAGGTTTCCCAAACACAACAAGCCCACCCTGTCATATGTGGTTTCTCTATTACCTCTTATCGCCTTCTTTTTCCACCAATCCATAGCACGGCTGCTGGATTGAGGATGGAGAAAAATCTGGGTTTCACTTCCACAGGTTACGGCCCTGTCCAGGCTGCTAAAAGAAAATGAGATATTAGAAAGAACAGAGAATGACTAAAATGGGTCAACAGGTCTCCCCCTAGTTCTTCCTCATAGCTATGGGTTTAGGGACACTTGAACCACTCCCTTCCAGACTAGGCCTCGGCAGCCCAAACTTGTTAATTCTAATGGGAGGAGCTCTGACTCAGAGTTTATGTCTTATTGTGGTACCTTAAACAGTGACTGCAACGTGGTTTAGATGTGATGGAGACTGATTCTTGACATTACTCATCAAATCAGTCTTTGTTCAAGACTGACCCAGGTTTAATGCAGTTCTTCTCAAAGTATTTCTTTAATTCCAGAAGCCTTTTTTTTCAGGGAAGAGAAGGAAAGGGAAAGGGAAAGGGAAGGGAAAGGGAAGGGGAAGGGAAAGGGAAAGGGAAAGGGAAAGGGAAAGGGAAAGGGAAAGGGAAAGGGAAAGGGAAGGCAAGGCAAGGCAAAGCAAGGCAAGGCAAGGCAAGGCAAGGCAAGGCAAGGCAAGGGAAGGCAAGGCAAGGCAAGGGAAGGGAAGGGAAGGGAAGGGAAGGGAAGGGAAGGGAAGGGAAGGGAAGGGAAGGAAGGGAAGGAAGGGAAGGGAAGGGAAGGGAAGGGAAGGGAAGGGAAGGGAAGGGAAGGGAAGGGAAGGGAAGGGAAGGGAAGGGAAGGGAAGGGAAGGGAAATGTGGTCATCAACTGCTGAATACATTGGTGGGTCTGGTAGCTTGTCTACACCAAACTCCTTGTGGTTCATGACCAACTGAGACAATACACTTGTTACACAGTTTTAGTAAGAAATGCATTCAGCACACAGGTTTTACTTTCAGTAGTAACTGAGTAAATCAGTTCTGTTTTATTCCACTGTATATGACAGATCTCTTTTGCAATTTAAGATAATAACATGTTAATCTGAATTCTCATAGACAGAAAAGACTATATCACAGTTCTCTTTTTTTAAGCTTATCTTAGCACACAACGTGTGGTTCAGTTAACAAGAGTCATGATCCACCCACTTGCAAGAAATAGTTCTTTGACTATATTCAGATACAAACACACCTCGTTTAGACAATAAGTATAGATCTGGAGTCTGACGGGATTAGCAAACTCATTGCACTGTACCCAAAGAAACAGGAAAATAACGAACAAGTTTGGTAACATAATTCAAAACATTTAGTTTTCCATGTCCTAGGAAGAATGGGAGTTCTGTTAATTAAATATGCACAAGGGAAGGCAGGGGGATTTTGAGAGAATCCTGCCTCAGATATTTCATGTCCACGTGTAAATGACAGCCAGTATTGTGCCTTGTTTCTTTTGCCTCTTTATAACACTGGTTTGAAACTAGAGAAAAAATTGATAGAAAAAACGTTGGGAGAAGGAAAAATGCCAATAGTTATGTCATTCATCATCCTTCATGAAATGGAAGATTTCTACACTCCTTTAGCAAGTTTATAGATGCTCTCATACAGACTTGTAAGTGCCAGAAAGTATTTGAATGTTATCTAAATCTCAAACTCATCTTTAAATCATAGATTCATAGAACCTCAGAATAGCTTGGGTTGGAAGAAACTTTTAAAGATCATCTAGTTCAGGCCCCCTGCAATGAGCAGGGACCTCTCCAACTAGGTTAGGTTGTTCAAAGCCCAATCCAGCCTGACCAGGAGTGTTTCCAGGGGGAGGGTGGGGCATCCACCACGTCTCTGGGCAACTTACTCCAGTGTTTCATCACCCTCACTGTAAAAAAATTTCTTTCTTATATCCAATCCAAATTGACCCCCTTTTAGTTTAAAACTCTTACCCCTTGTCCTATTGCACTTGGTAAATACAAAATTTATCACTGAGAGATCTTCTGCTGAAATTTATACTCAAGAAATACTGGATTTAGGCATGCACATACTATAGCATTTTCAGCCATACAAGTACTAATAAATAATTATGCATTTGCATATTACAGTATTTTCACAAATACACTGATTACTCATTAGTTTACTGTAGGTTCTATACAGAGGCTATTTTATGGTTTGCTGTGACAACACAGAAGTCATATTTGGCAAGACACATATTTGGCAAGACATGTTTAGGAAGGAGTGAGCCCCTTATAAATAAAACTGGAGAGGATGGAGTATTGCAAGCTTATAAATGTGTATTCCTGAAACATTTAAACAATAATTCTAACTACTGAGCTCATCACAAAAGAACATTACAATATGAGAGTTTAGAATGCAAATTCACCACCACCTCCTACAAGTTTTAGTTAAATGGTGTTCAACTACATCATTAATCTCCACAGACAACTCAAGTTCAGTATTGATTACTGTTTTAATGATACACAAACCCATAAAGATTGACCTTTGCAATCACTGGTGGCTTTGTGTGCTATTAAATTTCATATACAGCACAGCAAGTGACATTACAGGTAGATGTTTTAGTGAGAATGAAACAGACTGCAGAACGTCCTGGTATATCCTAACGCCTCAAGCAAATATGTCAAATGTAAACTGAAGAATGGGTTCTGAATTCCAAGCAAATCTGCATAACTAGATTTTAATTTATTTTATAGAAATAATTCTGGAAAATATTTTAAATTATTACTTGCATTTTTTCAAGATGTTTGAATGCCTAAGTTATAATCATTAAATAAACTTAATTTAGAAATTAGACAAGGTAAAAACCTACACAAAACCACCCTGTGTTTAAAAACTTATCTTCTCCTGTGCTGAGAAAATGCAACATTTGTATATGTTTGCTTTGATGATGAGAAAGTTTCTCTTCCTCTGATCATGAAACAATACTGGAGCCTCAGGCTTGGTGCGAGGACAATGCAATTCCCTCTGTAGCATGCAAGGTTCATAAGCACTCTGGTCCCTCAGGATCCCAGATGCCATGTTACAAGCACTTGAGAGACAGAAATCTTTAAACCAGGCAGTGCCTGGTCCAGTTAGCCTTCTGCAATGCAATATTTACAATAACATCACTGCAACACTGAGGAAGGAGCTGTTTGGATTAACCTGCTAAGAAATGGCACAGCATCGCCTCAGTGAGTAGGGCTGCATCTGGGCATCCCTATGTATCCCCCACCAACAGATTGAGACCAGCTGCTCACACCAGCTCTCTCATTTTGGAGCTCCTGCAGAGTCACATGCCCCAGGTTGCCTCAGAAGAAAATACAGTTTTGGACTCAGAACACAAGCCCAAAGAACAAATAACGCTATTAAGGCCAGCACCACAAGTCATGCATACAGCTGGGATTACCCCAGGTCGTGAGCCTGAGTGAGCCATGGAGCCAGACACCACTGTGAAGATGGGGAACACAGAGCCAACACTCCCAGGTGACCTGTGGCAGAAGGCAGGTTCTGAACAAGTTCCCTGCTGCAGGAGACCAGAGACAGCAAGTTGACTCTCACCCGAAAAATAAGTCAGGCACTTATTTGCACACTGAGCAACCCAGGTCTCCTTGTGTCATTGAAACCCAACATTATTTTTGTCTTTGTCTATTAAGTTTAGCTTCATCAGCTAGAAAACAATTTTGCCTGAAAGCGCCAGTGCACTTGTGCCAGCCAAAGAAAGAAAGACATGAGTTTACTGCAGGGGCACCATCCTTATCATCTAACTTGACACACCAGCTGCGTCCAGAGCAGACTGGCCTTGGGGAGGGGACATAAGTTGTAAAGACCATTTTTATTCTTCACACAGAGCTGCAGCTAAATCAGAACTGTATTAGTTGGACTTGTCTGACTGATAACCTGATTCCTTTGGCTGTTTTCTGATCTTGCAATTCAACTCTACCCAGTCACAGAATAAAATGTTATACAAATATTCAGACTTCTCCTGCAGCATTTCTGTAGTCCTTCCAGTCATGAACTGCAAGAGTCTAGAAGTCATGGCCAGGCACATAGCCCAAGAACACAGTGCCCCTTGATCCTACGGCTGATGCATGAGGAGTGAGATAAAGAGAGTTCTACTAACCCTCTGAGATGAACGCTTTCTGCACAACTCACAGTGACTGTAGTGATTCAGGCTTAGTTTACACATGGTAAGAGAAAGTGTTGTGCATCCAGCTCTTCTTTGCCCTCTCCTTTGCAGGAAAAGAAGAGGCTGAGCAGACATTTTTCCTAGAAACAGGCTTTCTGCAGAACTCAGGTCCCAGGGAAGAAGGGGATCTTCAGTTGTTCAGTCATGAAAATTCCTTAAAACTGAGCTTTATGTTTGGCCAGTCCCCTAAAAAAATTAGTGGCTAGAAGATTTTTCTATTTTTATTCCTCAACACTAGATAGGAGAGTATTTTTCCACTTTGTACGCAAGACCCACATTCTGAGCATTCCTTCAGTAACATTCAGTCATAATTTGACAACATTTTTAAATGACAATCTTATTGTTTTAATTACTGTTGTGTAAAGAGCTGGAAATATGCATCAGACTCAGTTCAAACTTAAAAGTTAAGTCTGCAAGAGGCAGCTGTTGCTAAGGGAGGAATAACTCAAGACAGAAGCAGAACATGATTGCAGAGATGTCATTCCACTTTATCTGAGGGGGATAGGAAAAGACAGTCATCATTTGCTCTTTCCCAGCCCAAGGCCATTCAGAGATCAGAATCATTGGCCATTCTTTAGGCTGAGAAATCCAATTTGTCTGTCCTTTTGTGGAACAACTGGCTCACAAATTTTAGACTGTAAGAAAAAAATCCTTTGTAGAAGAAAAGGTTTGGAAGAGACCCAGTAGCTGCAAAAAACAGGGGTGACAGCTAAACAGCCAATTAGAGATGGAAAGTCCAAGCATAGTGATTTAAGAAAACAAACCCAAGACCCATTTTCTCTAGCAGGTAATTAGCAGTAGCCTCTGCAAGGTAAAAAGAGGCACCTTTCTGAAGCAAGGCAATACCACAGCAGGGGTCTCTCAAGATTCTCATCATGGAGTTGTGATGAGGGGACCCCTTTAAGCTCAGGGAAGGACTGGGACTTGTTAATGATCATGTGCTGATCTGCATGTTGGATTTCTGACTGCGTGAGTAAAAGTAACGTGCACTACCCTGATTTGGTCTGCTACTGGGAACACCTTCAGACTTTGTCCCTGTTGCTTAAAGAGCAATTACTAACACATTTCCTTACCAGGCACATGGGAGTTTTCTGATAGGTTTCATCATGTATACACTGTAACACATTACAGCACTGTACTCTATTCATATGACTTCTCCAGGGAGATGGCTACCTTTTAGATACTCCTGGACCAGATAATCTTTCTATAAAAAGCAGAGAGATTATGGGTAATTATTTCCTGCTGTCCTCTCTGTGTCTTTTTTACTCCATTAAACAAACAGACAGTGTTTGGTATATGAGTAAGAAGTGTAGTGTAACAGAAAATATGCTAGAAAGGAAATGATTACTAATCACTGTTTTTTGCCCAATACAGCTAAAATGACCTATTTACTCAGCTCATCAGCTGAGCAAACTACTGACTTCAAGATGTGTGAAACCATCCTTGTTTTTTGGTTCCAAACGCAATTTTGTTTTGGTAATGAATTCAAGGAGCAAATATGACCTGGGCTGACAGAGAAGCACACAAGAACTAGAGTCATCCCACAGAGAGAAAACACTAAAAGGAGGCAGACAGACAAAGCCTAAAACATTGTCAAACAGTTTATTAAATAAGCTTAATGATTTAATATATGGAACTCAAGAAAGCATCAGCTAGGTTAACATTTGCCCAGGACATTCAAGTACATGTTAGGAAGTAAAATGTAAAACTACTCTTAAAATAAAACTGTACTATGGCTTTGGGCAGCAGGAAGATAAAAAGCTAACCCGAGCTCTCAAGTGACCAATCAGATGGAAATTAATTACAGATGTAAGGGACATGATTCATTATCTGCTTAAGTTAAAAAGTATCAACTACCTTATGAACACATAACAAACCAGCAGATGGATATGCCTCTCTTATACTCCATTAAACTACTTGGGTGTCTCAGTATTTCCAGGACTGAACATCATTTTTGGACAAATAATCACTATGTGTGCTTTATAGTTAGCACTGTGAGACACACATTCAGTGTTCAAACATTTTGATTCAGGAAGCTTTAATTTTGGGGTGGCTTGTTTTTGCCAGGAATGAGAAGAGGTACTCCTTGAATATTAGCTCATCTGGAATTTTCAAATGGCAAGTTGAAATCATATCTTTACACATGGCTTTGGGGATTCCCTTTTACTTTTCTCTGACTCAAGAACAGTGCTAAATGTTTCTTCCCTTAAAAAAAAAAATCCCTTTAAACTGAAACAAAATAGGAACACTTTGCCAAGAAAATATTTTAAAATATGAACCTATAAAAAATATTCTTCCATAATTTCATCTACAAGTTGTTCTCAGACCCACGGCAAGGAGGAATGACTTCACTCTCAATAAAAAGTAGCCCTAACAGAAAGAAATTACTTACTGGCAATATGGTTATCTAAACCCAAACATATTCTCAGAAAGACAGAATTTAATATTGAATTAATGCTTCAAAATATATCCAGCCTTGACTTCAAAAGTCACAGGACTTGCTACAAAGCTCAAGAAGCCTACTATGCAGATCTGCAACTTACACCTCAGTGTGCACATAGTTTATGTTTAATTTGGCAGGTAATTCAGCTCAGCACAAGCAAACAAATAAAACAAGGCAGCTGGCGTAAGGCCCCTGCAACTACAAGAGTTTCTGCTTCAGTCCAAGTTTAATCTGGTTGGCTGGAGCTTGAATGTTGCCCGTCGTGGATACGGTTCGAAGCTGTCCAATGGACCAACCACTCCTTCATCTGGAGATGATTAGCTCTCCCTTAGCATGATGAAGATTTGGTGCTGTTAGTCCAAAGACACGCTTAGGCAATCACAAACAACTTCTCTTTCCCTCTTCTCAGTTTATTGTCCTCTCCTGCTTTGCCCTCCTCCACTGCAGGACATCATGTCTCTGGTATTTTAAGTGACCTATGAGATGAAGACAGGTTTGCTCTCTTTCAAGTGTTTGAGTTTGCTCTTGTGTGCTCACAAGAATGGCTGTACCAGCTCAAGGGCTACTAAGTGAGACAAACTAGAGCTGTAGGAGGGAAAAAACCCCCAGCACCAACTAGGGCTGACTTTGCCAAGTCACCTTAGGAGTCAGGGGCTTTTTCACTCCAGCCCCACCCCACAGCCTGTCATCTACCTGCCAGGGATTTTCAGAGCTCACCTCCTATTGACTCTCCAAATGTGTGGAATGGTGTTTGGTCACAGGAACATTTTAGTACAGAAGTCTTTGGGAGAGGGAGGCTTTGCAGCACTCTTCTTCTTGCCACTGCTCCCCTGAAGATCAGATACAGGTATCTGATTCCTCACAGAGTTCCCACCTTCCCAAAATATTTGCCAACCCTCCTCAAATGCGGCAAGGTGAAGGTAACAACACAAACCTAAATGCCCCAAGAGAAACTCAATCACAATGAAACCTTGAAACCGCCCTGCAAGTTTGAAAATGTTGAGAAACTTCTGCAAGGCATTCAGAAGGGCTCTTGCTTTCTCATCTTTCCCCCACCCTTGTGGGTGGGTGTAAGGGCAGAGTAAGGCTTATCAAAGGCCCTGATTCTGAAGGCAGCCAGTGCCCCGGCCAGCGAGGGCCCTTCCACAAGCTCTGCCACCCACAAGTGCATTCCCTTGCTCAGAGACCTTGAAAGATGTTGCACTGGCAAACGTTCACCATTTATTTATTTCAGGTGTTTGACCAGAAGAAGAGCTGTGGGTCAGACATCCTCGTTAACGCCACGTTCAGGAACCCCACCTTTCTTGCAGCAGCCCCATGACTGCCCCTAACCGAGGCCCGAAGCCCACGGCCAGGAAACGCCTTCCCCTGCCTCCGGCGGCGAGGGTCGCGCAGACGGGGGGGACCCCACGGCGCCGAGAGGGTACCCAGCGAGGCGAAGGGCGCGGGGCAGGTGCCGCGCCCGGCGGGGCGCGGGGGGCGCAGCGCGGCCGCTCCGGCGTCAGGAGGAGCCGCTCGGTGCCGCTCTTTCCCCCGCCAGCCCCGTCTGCCGAGCGTGTGTCAAACCCACGTGCTCCGGCAGCCCGCGCACACGGGGAGCGGCGCCCCGCGGCCGAGCCCCTCCGCACCGCCGGCCCCGCACCGCACCGCACCGCGCCGGCCCGCACGGGCACCTCCGGCGGCGGCCGCGCCGCGCCGCACCGAGGCCTGCGCCGTCCCCGCGGCGACGGCGGCGGGGAGGAGGAGAAGGAGGAGGAGGAGGGCGGTGTTTTCCTGCGCGGCGCCGCGGCCGTCGCCCCGCCGCCGGCGAGCGTCAGGCGGGGCGGGGGGGGCCCGGCCTGGCCCTTCCCCTGGCCCCCGCGCCCCGAGGATGGCAGCGCTGCCCGCACGAGTGGCTGGCGGCGGTGTCCCTCCTCTTTTTTTTTCCGGGAGCGGCGGCGGCGGCGGCATCGGCGGCGGATCATTGTTGTGTGGGAGGAGGGTGGCGGGGATGGACTTGATCTCTCGGGTCTCCTGCTGAGGCGGCAGCACAGCGCGCCCCGCCGCCCAGCCAGCGCCGCGCCGGGCAGGGAGGGACCGGCCCGGCCCCCCGCCCGCTCCCCGGCTCTTTATTTTTAGGGGGCTCTGCTGCTCCTTTCCCTCGCCCTTATCTCTCCCCCCTCCTCCCCGCCCGCACACACGCACAGGGACACGCACGCACCCTCCTCCGGTGCCCTTTCATCCTTCCCCCCCGCCGTCCTCCCGCGCCGGCTCCTGCCGCGGCAGATGCGCCGCGGGTCACCGCGCAGCTGGGACTATGGTGAAATTTCCAGCGCTCACTAACTACTGGCCCCTGATCCGGTTCCTGGTCCCTCTTGGCATCACCAACATCGCCATCGACTTCGGGGAGCAGGTAAGGCAGCGCCTCTCCCGGGAGCGACCTTCTTCCGCAGCGCCGGGCCGGTGGGGCTCGGCGCCTCCGCCGGGAAGGGAAGGGGAGCCGAAGCGGGCAGAGCCGAGCCGTGCCCCGCCGTTCTGCCCCGGCTCATCGCGGCGAGCGGGGACTGCGGCCCCATCGCCGGTGGGAGCAGCGGGCGGCCGGTGCCGCCGTGCCTGCCCCGGCGGCGGCCCGAGAGCACGGGCTGCCCCGCACCCCGCGAGATGCACGGGGAAGGACGGCGGGTTGTTTGGGGGATTTTTTTTTTTCCCCTCGTATTTCAGGATTATATAATCTCAAATTACATAATGCATTCGCCGGGGGGCTGGTTTTGGTTTATGTCCCCGCTGACACGGCCGCTCAGGTGCAGCAGCCCCTAGCGCAGTGCAGCCCGGTGGCAGTGGCGGCTGGAGCGGGGCGCGGGGAGGGCGGCCCGGCTGCCGCCGCCCGTTGCCGGAGGGCGCCGCGGACCCCCCCGCCCCGCCGCGCTGCCGCAGCGGTTCGGCCCCCGCCACCGGCAGCCCCCGCCGTGGCATCGCGGGAGGAGGACGGCATCCCGGCGGAGAGCCGCTCCGCACCCCCTCGGTGAGGGGGCGACTTCCCGGCGAGTCTCCGAGCAGGTGAAGCTCCGCTGCGCCCCTGCCTCCGCCGGTGTTCGATGCGCCTCAGCCCTGCTGCAGTTCCGTAGCGGTGTTGGTGACCTAAGGCTGTCCCCTGTCATAGGCACGGAGAAGATACCCCTGGTACCCGAACCCCGAACCTATCTCCCTGACGTGCAGCCTTCCCGCTTCGTCCTCCCAGTCCCCGCTTGCAGCGTTTGCACTGAGAACATGTTCAATGCTTGACGTACCCATTCCTCCTCTGGCCGAGCTTTTCCCGCAGGGTGCTCGTTTGCCACTGCGCTGTGGTGTGGCAAATCTCTGCACTCATGTTTCCGTATTTATGACAGCCCAGGCCCCGGTCTTGTGTTAGGCTGCACTATATGAGCTGATCACTAATTATATTTTCAGTAGGATGTTATACACTACTACTTACTCACAAGTGTTAAGCTGGGCAGCCACACTAGATATTGTGTCTCAAATAGCTTTATCCTTGTCCTAAGTCACTCGGTTTTACTAAGAAGATCTTGTTTTCTAAGAATAGGCACTTGCTCCTGTGCTCCTTGAGCAAAGGTATCAGAAAATTGGTGGGTACTTTCAGCCATTTGTAAAGAGAAAAGTGAAAGGAAAAAATATTACAGCGGGGAAAAAATAACTAATATTAATCATATGTTTGTCATGGCTGTGTCAATTGCCTTTTGATTCCTAGTCCCTTAAATAAACTGTGATACTAAAAAATACAATTCCATCCTTGTCTGACAACTACATGCTTTCCTACTAAGTCAGTCTTGTATAAATCATAGTCAGTGGGGAAAAACGGAAATCTAAAGATAGAAGTGACAAGGGAAAAGGTGATTTAAATGCTAATAACTGTGCCACATTAATAACATACAGCAGAAGTTAAATTGAAAGCAGTTCACTCAGCAAACTGAGTATGACAGGTGCATAGCTACAGTTTGCCTCATACAAGGTCAGCGTGATTCAAGATCTATGTCAGCCTATAAAAAACATCCCTTTGGCTTCAGTGTCCTCTGTACCAGGATTTAAAAAATTTGCAAGCAATCTTACAAGTAAGGGGTCTTCTGTCTGCTTGGGTACCGGTGACATGGGAGGCATGTTAGCATGTGAATGGTGCATGTAAACACTTATTTAAGCAACTTTGACAGCATTAGGAACAAAAATGTGCTTTATTTCATAGCCAAGTAATAGGATTGGCCCTCCAATCCTTCAACTCCAGAGTTGGAGTTATCCCTTGTCTCAGATGGCAGCCTGGGGAGGTGATTAATTGGAAAGGGAGAAATCTAGCCTGCTAGACATCTAGCTCCTTTCAGGAGCAGAAACTAGAAAGATAGTTTTTGTACCAGCCTTACCTACATGGAAATCAGGAAACCAAAGCAGGGACAAAGTTACTCCAGGTCTGAAGGGTTCCTCTTACAGACAAAAGGATAGTGATTTTATTTTCTAGTATATAATACATGAAGTTGTTTTTTACACTTGTAGGAATATTACTGTGAGACTTGTGAGGTTGAAAATACATTGACTTGCTCAGCCAGTCCCCTTTCTGCTTTAAAAATTTGTAATGATTTTAATGCCAGGGTTGAATGGAAGCAACGTAGAAGAATGCGTGTGCCAACAGATAGCTGCTGTACCTTCTCCTGTAAATGTGTGCTGCAGATAACAAAGATTTCCAAGAATGATAAGGGAAGAAAACTTTGCATTAAGTAATGTTACCTGCTCTGGACAATACTGTGAAAGAAAGAGGAGAACTACAGGTCAGAAGTAAGAGATGAGTGTAAAAAATTAGGGAGAGAATGGACCTTGCCTGACCAGTGAAGAGATGTGTAAGAAATGCTATAAGTCATAAACCCTTTTAATGTGTGGTATTCATACATTGCTTCCTCAAGGGGGGAGGGTTATTTGGGAGCAAAGTGTTCGAAACAAAGTTTGAAAAGTGAGAAACAAAGATATTCGCACTTTTTTTTTTTTTTAATTACCTTTAGAGGCTTTTCTACAGGTTGGTAGTCGTAATCAATAGCAAACATCACTAGGAAGTGACCAGACCCTTGGTGTGCAGTTCTCTCTAGACTTCTTGCTACTTTAAGAGAAATTTATACTAAGGATAAAGAATATTTGCAGAACAGAGGTTGAGGCTGTCATCATTGGCCCATATAACATGTTTGCAGTGGCAAGTGTGTTTAGTTTACAGGAAGTAAAAAATGCTGGCAGAATGCTTAAGAACTAATAAGTTCAGCTCCTGCAGTCACTTCCAGAACTGCTGTAGCCAGTGAAGAGCCTCCTGTTGACTTCTGGACCCTAATCCAATAAAGCCTTAAGACAAGGCTATATTACTGCAGTTTAGTGAGGCGACTTCATTTGTTCACCTCATAAAATCTCTTAGACAAATACCTGACTTTTCCCCTTCTAAAAAAGGTCATTCTGATGCATGAACAGGTAAATTACCAGAATATTAGAGAGATAAACCATTTCTAACCTGTTTTCATTATTTCCTTCTGCAGTCCATTTCCAGTTTATTTACAGTGCTGCATGGCATTTATGAAATGAAATATTGCATAGCTCTCTTCTTAGAGAAAGGCCTTCAGGAAAATAGTCTCAAGTATTATGGCTAAATGATCTTTCTCCACACTAATATGTTTCACCACACAAATTTGTGTCTTGAACTTAACACCATTAGAAGAGAGATGCTCACTTTTATTCTACTGTTGAGAGCATTCAACTCTCAGTATCTTACCCTGAGATTAACAGTAATTACTATTGTGTTTAGAGCTCAGTTGTTGGAAAGCAGAGTTTGCATTAAAAATTCTGGCTCCCTTGAAAAATGTTGTTGGATGCACTTGCTTGGAAATAAATAAATAAATGGCTCCAATGTGATGAGGCACAACACAACCTCAAACAACTCACCCAGCAAATAATAGCACCACTACCCTGTGGGCTCAAAAATCTGTCACCACCCACACAGCTTCAGAGCTGCTCACATATATAGTGGTGGCCTGACTTGTAATGTCTGTGTGCATTTGCATCAGCATTATTATAGAGGGGGAAAGCTGAGGTGTGCATTAGTTCACTAACGTTTGAATTGACCTTAGGTAGCATTAAATACAATTAGCAGGTGTGGCTGATAACTGGTAACATCAGAGGATGTTCAAGGGGTGGCAAAGGCCAGGAAGAGAGCAATATTTTGATCTCAAGGCCTATCTGCAGTAGTCCCTTAATTTTCAGTGGGAACACTAGGAGGTTTTTTTTGTTCGGGTTTCTTTTTTAACTTTCTAGCTAGCCCCTGGATCATTAGCTTCAGTTGCTGTCACTAGCTGTTGGTTGGGCAGTTTAACTTGCCAACATAACTGCTACGTATGCAGGCATAATGTTGCTCAGCGGCTTGCACATCCTTGGAAACTAAAACCGAGTAAGCAGAGCCTTGCTGCTGCTTTCTCCTGAGGTCATTCAGGTGCTCTGGTTCCGCAGAGAAGTTGCCATACGTTGTGTGTGGTGTGGCGATTGATATCAAACAGGCAAGCCATAAAGGAAATGCTAAATGTTTTGGATTCCAAATTATTTTGCAGTAATTGCTTTAAAGCAAACTGTTATTTTCTTGTATTTGATTGGGTTTTTGGTTAGTGTTTTTTTTTTTTTTTTAACTTGAAAAAAGAAAGTGTTGCCAGAAAAAGAGAACAAGTCATGAATAATGTATCAAAAAGAATTAGTGAGCTTATTGTCTGCCCATGCCATTTGCAAACTTAGTAGGGGGTTAAACATTTTGATTAATGGCTTATGAAGCTTGTTTTGGGGGTAAGTGTTATTGTCTGGACATTCAAAACAAGTAATGGGAGAGTTCACATTCCCAGCTGTTCACCGAGGATTTGGGCCAAGTTGTGTAACCTTTCCGTGGCACAGTTTCCTTGCCTTTGAAGTGTGGCTAGACACCTACTTGTATGTAGACGTAATGAAAATTCAGATGTCAGAAGAGCTCTAAGATGAAAGGTGCTGTAGGAGCACAAAGTACTCCTATATTGATGTTGTGAGAGGTCAGAGACTTGTTTAAATTGTGTAGGACTTTAGTACCATATAAACAAGAAAGCTAACAAAGTCTTGTAATTTGTGTAGACCGTGACTATGTTATTACCACAATCATATTACTAATAGGCTATGCTGATGGAAATGCCCTGTTTGTTTTAAATGAATGTGAACCATATAGCCTTTAAAATTAAATTTAGATGAAATTGTGTTGAAGAAGCAACCATATACAGAGTATATTATCAACAGAATTTTTTTTGTTGTTATTATTTTTCATGGTGATATTTTGAAGTAGTTAATTTTTCCTGCAGAATTCACAAGACAAATAGTCAGGGAACTAGCTAGAAATGATCACTAAAATACATCTAACTTTCCAGTTTAGAATTAGCAAATCCAAGTGAGATGTTCTATGAAGGATTGAAAAAGATACCACACACACCTGAAGTAGTAGTTTTCAGAATTTATACCTCAATGCTGGCTCCAGAGACTTTCTTCTAAGCAAAGCATCTTTATGTCCTTTTGCATGCCAGCCTGAGCCCTACAGCCTTAGATCTTAAATGGTCATCTAGCAAGCACTGGGGGTTTTCACACTAATTCTAGGTGGGGTCTAGACCACTCAGAAAATTTTTGAGACTACACAAGTGATTAATTAGACTTATATGTCTATGTTAGTTGCAGTGAGTGTTAGATAGCAGGCATTGCATTCACCCCTCATGCAGAGCATTTGCTGGCATTTCACAGCAAGCAATGCATGCTGAGATCTGGGAAGAAGTCAGAGTTTTCATAAAACATTTGCAGATAAAAGCCAAATTTCAGCAAAGTGCTAATGTTCTTAAAGGTGACAAAGACACATACTCCACTCAGCTAAACCAACATGTGTTTGTGTTTTATAGCACTTCAGGTACAAAATAAACAGGTTACGAAGAGCAGTGGAGCTATCACCACTGGAGATTTCAGATGGTACTAGAAATTATGAGTATGAATCTGCTAATGAGGTGTCCATTCCCTGCAGTGCTCCATGTTGCCATAGTGTAAAATGCATAATCAAAAACTAGGGCTTGTGTTATACCTCATTTGTCGATATCTTCCCTTTTTTATATCGTATTCTTTCTTTCCTTCACATAACCCTCCAGTTTCCTGCCTCCCACTTCCCATGGCTGTGTTACCTCTGCTCTAAGGACTTCTCTGGACTTTCTTACCCTTTTTTGTTAAGAACTGGCAGGTTTTGTACTTGGTGATACCC